AACAGTCAAGTCGCGGTACCCCATTCCCCGCGCCGACGAACTGATCGACCAACTGCGAACAGCACGGGTTTTTTCGAAAATAGATTTACGGGGAGGTTACCATCAGATTAGGGTCGAACCATCGGACTGCGCCAAAACAGCTTTCAGGACTAGGTACGGGTCGTTCGAGTACACTGTGATGCTATTCGGGCTGACCAACGCACCGGCGACTTTTCAGATGACCATGAACGAGGCATTTAGGCCGCTCTTAGATAAATGTGTAATAGTTTACCTCGACGACATCCTAGTGTACAGTCGGGATAAGCAGCAGCACTTAGCAGATCTGGAAGCAGTGTTTAAGGTTTTAGACGAGCACAGATTACTGACCAAGGGTTCCAAGTGCGAGTTCTTCCAGGATAGGTTAGAATTTTTGGGGAACGTTATTTCGGAGGCTGGAGTTGAAATCGACCCAAAGAAGCTGGATACGGTAAAAGCGTGGCATCCCCCGACGAACATCACGGAGCTACAGAGCTTTTTAGGGTTCGTTAATTATGTGCGTCGGTTCGTCCCCGATATGGCACGGTTAACTGCCCCACTGACGGATTTACTGCGGAAGGGGGTCGCTTTTACGTGGGGGGAGAAAGAGCATGCTACCTTCTCTGCCCTGAAAAATGTTCTCTGTTCACCGCCCGTCCTGCGCATCGCCGACCCACACCGCCCATTCGAAGTAGTTACCGACGCAAGCGATATCGCCATCGGAGCCGTACTGCTACATGATTTCGGCAATGGCCTACAGCCTATCGCATACGAGTCACGAAAACTGCATCCGTCCGAGAAAAATTACCCGATACACGACCGCGAAATGCTTGCGATCGTGCACGCGTTCAAAGTATGGCGCTGTTACTTGACTGGCGCGGACGTGACAGTACGGACAGACCATAAATCACTACAGTACCTTCGCGCACAGCCACACCTCAACCCACGACAGATTCGCTGGCTCGATTTCCTCGAGTCCAACTTTCACTACACGGTCACTTACAAAAAGGGAGCCTCGAACATCGCCGACGCACTGACCCGCCCCACTGCCCAGATCCACGCAATACTACTCGCCCAGACAAGCCCGCTACTGACAGGCGTATTCACCCACGGGTACCAAACGGATCCATTCTTCACAGGAGGAAATTCGCAGCAGTTCGCAGCAACAAAGGGAGTCTATTACGTAAAAACCGGGACTGACCGCATTTGGGTGCCTGGGTATACACTGCTACGGGAATTACTGTTACAGGAGGCACACGACGGAGTTACCTCGGGGCATTTCGGAGTTGAAAAAACACGGCAGCAGCTGCAGCGGTATTATTACTGGCCCGAAATGTTGACCGACGTACAACGACACGTGGCATCGTGTCCCACTTGTCAGCTCATGAAATCATCACGACAGCGGCCGGCGGGACAGTTGCAGCCGATACCACCCCCAGAGCGTGCTTGGCAGCAGGTGACGATGGACTTCGTCACGGGGTTACCAGCTGGGGCGAGCGGGAACGACGCGATCCTGGTCGTCGTCGATCGACTGACGAAAATGGCACATTTCGCAGCCTGCAAAAAATCAATCACAGCCGAAGAAACAGCACGCCTCTTCATCTCCACCGTCGTTCGACTGCACGGGATACCAGCCGCGATCATCAGCGACCGCGACACGAAATTCACCAGCAACTTCTGGCGGAACCTGTGGCAGCAGTTCGGCACACGACTGCAGTTCAGTTCATCATACCACCCTGAAACCGACGGACAGACAGAACGGACAAATCAGACCATGGAACAGCTCATCAGGGCCACGTGTGACGACCCGACCACGTGGGAACAGCAACTACCACTAATCGAATTCGCGTACAACAACTCGCCATCCGCCACGACCCAACAGTCACCATTTTACCTAAACTACGGACAAGACCCGACAGTACCCATGACCCCGAATCCCGACAACCCAGTACCACGAGCACAACAGTTCGCCGAAATATTACAAGCAGCACGGACCCGGGCAGTAGACGCAATAAAAAAATCGAACATCATCGCTAAACGCAACGCCGACCGCCACCGCAGACCTGTCACTTACCAGCCCGACGACTTAGTTTTACTTGACACTCAGAACCTCCGACTGCCCATCACCCCGAAACTCCGCCCCCGATACTGCGGGCCATTTCGCATAAGCCACATGCTTACACCCGTCACCGCCCACCTCCTCCTCCCTGCTGACTGGTACGTCAGCCCCTCATTCCACGTCAGCCTACTTCGCCCTTACGTCCCGTCCACGAGCCAACTGCCACGCAATCGCCCAACCAGCATGACAAGACCACCAACTGAACCAATCATCACGCCCGAGAAAATCCTGAGTCACAGAGTTCGCGACCCTCGAGGAGCCCGAAGGATCGAGTTCTTACTCCGCTGGAAGGACCGTACACCCACCGAAGACAATTGGGTTCCCCTGGACAGAATCGAAAACCACCCCGTCCTCACCGAGTATCTGCGCAGCCGAAATTTCAGGGATGTACACACACTTTCGTAAGGAGGACCTCCTTAGGGGGGGGGGGGGGGTAGTATAAGGAAAATTCCTTTTCCTTACTTCGCATCCCTGCTCAACGCGTACATCGCTGTAGCACCACAGTCAGCACCGTTACCACTCGCAACCCTCGCATCGACAATCCGCCCGCCACCTTCGCACATCGCACCCCGACCTCACGGCTCGGCGGGTAACCCGCGCTCCGGGCCTCCGCTTCGACACTTTTTCCCAACCTCAGTCCCAGGCCCGTCGCGCGACAACCACAGTCCATTACCGTTACCACTGTAGTTTCGCTATATATTTTTCGCTCATGCCTTCGCTCATTTGGACTCTTGCTTCGATAGTGCAATTCTCATTCGTTCACTCAATTGCACTCGTAACACGGGAGATGACAATGGCATCATCTTTGTTGGTTTTGTGACAACAACGGATTCCGAGGGAGGCGATAGGAAAGGCTCGGTGGCGGCTCACAATGAGGTTTGGGCCGGTAAGCGCGGGGACAGCTTGGTTGGCCCCGAAGCCAAAACTGGGAGAGAATTGCTCCAAACCCTTGTTTGGAGATTCAACGTTGCCCACGTGGCTACCATTTGCTCGCGTGGTTCTCAAATTCAGTGATAATTGCTCGAGTGGCCTTGCCAGGGGATTCTCACTGGCTTTTTTTAACCCGTCACATTACCCTACATGGGTTTCTATCCCCGAAACTTCTGTACTGGTTACTGCGCGATCTTCAGTATCCAAAATCTATGTTCGTGACCCTATATGACCGCGCCTGATTGGACGCGCAATTCAAAAAAAGGCACCGCGCATATAATTGACCAATCATGCGTGGTCATTAAGGACATTGCAGTTTATAACTGCGGAAATATATGATCGGGCATTAAAATATGATGCGCGCGACCATTAATGGCCGCGCAGGATTGGTCGATTATATGAGCGTCCAATCAGGCGCGGTCATATAGGGTCACGAACATAAATTTCGGATATAAAAGATCGCGCAATAACCAATACAGAAGTTTCGAGGATAGATACCCCTGAAGGGTAATGTTCATTCTTAAAAAAAGACGTTGAGAATCCCATGGCGAGGCCACTCGAGCAATTATCACTGAATTTGAGAACCACTCGAGCAAATGGTGGCCACGTGTGCAACAACGAATCCCCAAACAAGGGTTTGGAGCAAATCTCTCCAAAACTGGTCTGGTTTACGGAAGGACCCACCCTCCTGTCTGTCTCGATATCAAGGTAGGTTTCGATAACTTCGGAAGGAGATCCAAACCGCGGATCCAATCCCTCGTGAATTCAGATAAAACTCCTCCTCCCATCCGCACCGTCAATGAATTTTTTATCCCTCGAACCTGCAGCCGCGCTTTCAGCCTCGGGAACTCCCTCGCTTTTCGCGTTCTCCCACACCTGTAAGGTATCAGCGGACGAGGAGCAGCATGTGGGTGTGTGGTCAATAATTACTCTGCGATTCCAGGCACTCTTATCTCCAGTCTAGTCTGGAACCTCAGCCCCTTGATCAGCTCCAGGCAGGCAGGCTTTAGTGTGTGAAAGAGCAGCAGAAACTTATAATTGGTTCTGCGTAGCGTAGAGAGCAGGTTTCACGAAAGGAGCTGCTCTGGCTGCTGCTTTCAGGGGATCATACATCCTCCGTCCTGGTCTACCTCTTGCCGCGTGTAATCGGGGCAAGAATCTGTCCTAGTTAATCCTCGTCCACCTCCTTATCCCCGCGCCATCGTCGACAACTTCAGCGTCTAGCATCTCTCCGCCGCGTCCATTTGGTTTCATTCCTGGCTACGCTGACAATCCAGCCTCGCCCAACGCCGCACATTCCATATTCTTTCCACATTACGCTTCTCGAAGGTTTCGACCACCAATTTCACAATATCGTAAGCTCTTGACGAGTTTCACGCCCATTCATTAAGCTTATCGAAGCATTCGAGTGCCATTTCATCCTAGTCAACGTCACCTCCAACCAGCTCCGGTACCACGATCTCGTCGAAGATGAGTCAGCACGATAAACCAGCGGAAGTTCAGTCCTCCACGTCGTCAGAATCGCCAGATCAAGCCGCGGTAGATACGCAGCAACAATCGCAGCAACAAGAGCAGCCATCAGAGCAAGAGCTGCAGCAGCAGCAACAGCCGGCCGCGCCTGAACCTCCTAAACAGCAAGGCCGGGGTGGCCGGTCATGGCGGTTGCTCTTTGCTGGTGGCATGGCAGGCGCAGTTGCTCGAACATGCACCGCACCTCTCGATCGAATTAAACTGCTGCTCCAGGTACACCGTTAAGCATATCACATTACTCAGAGACGGATCATTCTACGCGCTATCGTTGAGCAGTCAGCCGTTATTGCGGGTCTGTCGCTTTCAACCCACTTAATTCCTCCATCCTCCGCTGACTGTACAGGTGCAGCATCTGGGTCAGCTAGGCACATCTGCTAACGCGTACACGGGCGTGACTCAAGCCGTCATGAAGATCGGCCGCGAGGAGGGCATTCGCGCGTTCTGGAAGGGCAACGGGCTTAACATCGTCCGCATCTTCCCTTACTCCGCCGCCCAGGTTAGCTCCGCTCTCTTTTTTTTTCCCTTTTTTTTCTTTTTTTTTTTTGGGTGGGGGGGGGGGGGGGGGGGGGGGGGGGGAGGAGGGGGGGGCTGGTTGGACAGTCGCTAACGCCTAACGACCTTGTTCGTTCATAGCATCCCAACAACAACTTGCAATTTTTCTCCTCCCCATCCCCACTCCCCCTTTCCCATCCCCCCCGCGTTGTGCAACGCTGAAAACACTCATTTGCGCTGCTCGATCAGCCGTTTGAGCAATTTCAAAAACTGCCGCAAGTCTCTCTGTAAAACCCCGAACCCTCTCCCCCCAACCGCCCTCTCTCCCCCTCTCCTTCTCCTTCTCCCATTCCCTCCCCTCCCTCGCTTTCCTACACGTCTACTGTTGGTTCCTTTCTCCCCTTTATTCTCCCTTCCTATAACTCCCGCCACCGCCTTAGCTGTTCCCTGGCCGCTTTCCCGCCTCCCCGTCTCTCGCCTCCCTTCTTCCCCTCCCCCACTCCCGCAGTTCACGTCGCACGAGCAGTACAAGATTCTGCTGGCGGGGACGTCGGGGCAGCTGACCGTGCCGCAGCGGCTGATGGCGGGCGCCATGGCGGGCATGACAGCGACGGCGCTGACGCACCCGCTGGACACGGTGCGGCTGCGGATGGCCATGCCCACGTCGGGTTACTCGGGGATCTCGCACGCCTTCGGAACGATCATTGCCAAGGTACGCTTGAGGGAGGGAGGGATGGTGTGCTCAGGTGGCTTTTGAGTCGCCTGTACAAGCAGCATGGCCATGCCCACGTCAGGGCACTCGGGGATCTCGCAAGCGTTTGGAACGATCATTGCCAAGGTAAGCTCGAGCGAGGGATGGTGTGCTCAGGTGGCTTATGAGTCGCCTGTACAGGCAGCATGTCGATGCTGCACATGTTTGTCAAGTCAAGCGCGTCTCAGGGATGTCAAGCTCGCCTTTGCGACGAGCGAGCACTGCCAAGGTTGGAAGGGGGAGGGGGGGTGGTTGGAATTCTTAGGGCTGTCTGTTTGTCGTTAGGGAGGATTAGGATTCGCAGGAGGCGTTTGAGTCGGTTGTTCCAGTCAGTATGGCGACACTGGCGTCGGGTTACTGGGGAATTTCGAACGCCTTTGCGAGATTCTTTGCCGAGGCACGGAGGGAGGGTTGGAATGCCCACGGTTGCCTTTTTCAAAGGGAGATTCCTCTTTGGTATGCGTTTTACTTGGGTAAGGGGGTGTTGGAGACGGGAAGGAAGGGAAGAGGAGTGGGGACGAGAGAGAGTGGGAACGGTGGTGCGCATGGCCATGCCGCTTTTGGGTTGAAGGGACTCAGGGCTCTCCATCCACCCCTTGTTGTGAGCATCAGTGGATAAAAGAAAGGCGGGGAGAAATGTGGGGGTAGTGCATACGTGGGAAAGGGCTGGACGAGGGAGTGACGGGGCGGGCAGGGAAGATGGAGGATGTGTAAGAGTGGGAACGGCTGTGATGCATTTATTCAGAGTAAAAAGGGAGTGTAAGGAGTCAGCAGCAAGATGTATCTTAGTGTAATCTGCTTTGTATTTAAATTGTATTAACCTGCGTCGCCTTGAGGCTGCTTATAATAAAATAAGCTATGCTCTAACCCCTGGGCTTGGGTTCCCACTTGCCTGTGCTGTACTCTTCACAGGAGGGCCCGCTGGCTCTATACAAGGGCATCTTCCCTACACTGCTGGGTATCGCCCCATATGCTGCACTCAACTTTGCATCGTGAGTCCAATTTGCGTCATGCTCAATTGGAAACAACAGGGGGCTGGGTGGGCCGTACCTCCCTTGACCCGAATGGCCCCTAGCTTTCCGAACCTGGCGTGCTTCTTTTGAGCTCATAGCGCCTCATTCCATCTCTCTTTGAACCCTGAACCCTTTCAGCATGCGTGTTGGTTCAGATGTCTGTTGCAGCGTCCCTTCACCTATCGCTACTCACTCACTCACCCCATTTCAAGCAGCTGTTTCCGTGACTACACCAACAGTCGCCCTTTTCACATTTATTGTTTCAACCAACCGTCATGGAATTCGTTTCGAAGCCTTGCTGGTGCCCATTCCGCAGTCTGCATCTCACCAGCTAACCTTGCCGAATCCCTTAATCGTTCCACAGCCTGGACTGGTGCATAAGAACGAGTAGGACCAACTGTCCTCCGCTTCTCTCTTCTTATCCCATTGCCCCCTCGCCCCTCTCAGATATGACCTGCTCAAGTCGTCGCTGTACAAGTCTGGTGCAGTGAAAGAGTCGATTCCCAATAACTTGCTCATGGGGGCGACAGCTGGTACCATTGCCACCACTGTGTGCTACCCTCTTGACACTGTGCGGAGGAGAATGCAGGTCCGTGCCCCCCTCCTTCCCCTTTCTCCAGCTCTTCACCCTGCTCCAAGATCATCCATTTCCCTATTGTGCAGCCTTCTCTCTCTCTCTCTCTCTCTCTCTCTCTCTCTCTCTCTCTCTCTCTCTCTCTCTCTCTCTTCCTCTCTTCCTCTCTTTCTCTCCCTCTCTCTATTCTCCACTCCTGAACGCTGCTTTGCCTTGTCATCCTCATGCCGTTATCAACCCCTCTATGCTATTGACCTACTGCTTTCAGATCCAGCCCGCTCAATCAGTCACGTTTTCTCCAGGCATTGTGGATTGGTTGTCCTTCAAACAATACCATGATATTGCTCTCTGACTGTGTGTGCGTTGGTTGTCTTGTGCTGTTGTTGGCTGGCTGTGTGTGTGGGAGCAACAACAGATGAAGGGCCAGGTGTATCGCAACACCATGGATGCATTTGCAACCATGGCAAGGACAGAAGGCCCACGGTATGTGTTTCACTTGTTGTGTCATGCGTTTCAGAATCATGACATTTGTCCTTTCCAATGCCATGGCATGCCATCGCATGCATCGGCCATGTGCGTACCAATCTGCACACACTCTGGTTTCTGTTCCATCCCCGCCATATTGCAACAAGGAAATTGATGTGCCAACAATGTACTTACCGAAAGTTTCCAATCTGCCATCGTGCTTGACCCTTGTTGCAGGGGCTTCTACCACGGATGGTGGGCCAACACTCTCAAGGTCGTACCCCAAAACTCCATCCGCTTTGTGGCGTATGAGTTTTTCAAATCAGTTGTGGGTGTCAAGAAGGCAAAGACCGACACGTGAGCCCAAGACATGCTTGTGTTATAATCAGGAGATTTATTCAGCCCTTGTTAACCTTGGTGTTGACTCTGGTGACTGTTATCATAGATTCTTTTTCAATCAATGTACTGTATTTGATTCACAGTTCCGCTGTCAGACTAGGTCCTTTGTGATTGGTTGACCCCTGCCAAAACTGACAGGCTTCGAAGCTAAGAAATTCACCAGCGACTGCAGTGAAGCTCGTTGCAACCTCTCGGAAGTTTACTAAAGCAGATTTGTGGTGGTGAAGGACGGGCCGCGTGAGTGGCGGATTGTTGGTTGGTGGAGAGAGAGATCTGTCCAGCGCAGCAAAAATGCTTCTGGCGGGCACACTGTCCCTTTCATGTGTGAAATCAGCGACTTTGACTACCCCAAAGTTCTCTGCATGACGGACAACTAAGAAATACCCCAATATATTTTCCGAAATAAAAAATATAAAAAAAAACATTTTAACAATAGCCAACTATTTCACATGGTTGCATAGCTTCCCCCCCCCCAACCCAACCAGTGCTGTGCCACGTGAAATTTGGTGGGATGAGCGGAAAGGACGGGGATAAAAGATGCCTCATTTAGCCATTTCATTGGTCGGATAAGTCAGAGGTGCAGTCAAGGCTGGTGCTTGGCTTCATGCGGCTCGGTCACTTGCATTGTCTTGCTTGTCAATGGTAGCGCTTGGGCTCGTTTTTGGCTCCCCAAACTTCCCCTGAATCGCGACCGCTCTAGGTCCATTTGGCGCATGACAGCAATCAAACAAAAATCGAGGAACTCTTCACAGGTGAATCGCAACCGCACAGGGTCATGTTGGTGCTGAAAAGTAGCGGTTAGAGCTTGAAGCACGTATACCAGAACGGAGTGGGAGGGATGGGGAGACAAAGCAGGGCGAGCAACTTCAGAATAGGCTGTTTCTTCGATATGGACGACAACAACTACCCAGAATTTCTGTATTATCGGCATACATTGGATTGGACTGCCCGCCCTTCGAGGCGCAAGCAGGGTTGTGCGCGAACTGCAGGCGACCCGAGGCATTCCCTGCGCCTCGCTCTTCACAAGATTTGCTGTCGGTCGAACCGCGATTTGGCCGTGGTGGTGAGCTGTATCCGCAGCAGCCCCACACAGAACCGCGCAAGGTGAAAGGAAGCCCGCGGATCTGCGCGCAGAGAATGTGTTGATGGTAATTCTCGAAGTACTTTATGGGCCAGCAATGTATTTACCCTTATGTACACAGGATGCCCATTTCAGTCCCCTTCCTCATCTTTCCCTGTGCTCCTCTCTCGAGCATGCGTTCACTAGGGGCAGAATGGGACTGAATGTAGAACAAAGGTTGACAAAAAAACTACAGTTGCGGAAATTGTGGGTAGCCCAGCGTGTTTTGTCTGGGAAACTCGAACATCTTGGTTTTGTCGTGGGCTAGTAACGCGCGGGCCGTTGGCTGTGAATGTCGACCACTGGGCGTATGGAGTGGCAGTGGCCGTGTTCAGAGTGGGCGGTTGAGTGAGCATTAGGGTGTATGCGTGAACCTCTTCCGCTACAGCATACATTTTCGGATCTGAAAACCATGTGAGCCGAGTCAAGTGCATACGTAGTTATCAATCACATCCTGCGTGCGTGGTGTGCTGCAATTCTGCGTGGCTCGGGAAGGTTGGGGAGGGGAGGAACGGAACGGAAGACAAGAAATGACACAATTTTGATGGAAGTGCAGGTGTCGCAGAGTAGACAGGAGGTCGGATAGGCTGTGATCCAGGTTGAGTTGAGTGTCCGTCCAGTCCATGGCGCAGGAGGAAGTACTCGTCGAATAACTCGTTCTATCTTGTTTGGACCTACTTTTCATAGCGCTTAGTGGTGACCGCTTAATGCGGAAACGGATCCTTCGTTTTCGCCAGGCTCAGCTGACGTTGCTAAGTGCTCGCTTTCCAGGATATACGTGGAGCTTAGACGTACTGACCTTTCGTGCTTATATTACGGAGCTCAATTCTAGTTTTTCACGACCGGAGTCAACAGGCGGGATCGAGATAGGTACCCATTAGGGCAGTAGGGTTCGGCAACACGGCGCAACTGGGTAGTGAGCGCGCGTTTCAGTATTCAGGGTTACATCACTCGCTCGTTTGGGACTTCTCAGTGTTCAGATAGTCAGCGCGCGAATGGCTATGGCATCAATAGACCACCCAGTCGAGCCAGGCTTGCTTCGCGGCGATAATCACGGCGCGTATCTCGGCGCTGATTACTGCGCAGGAAACGTTGCTGGCGCGAATCATGGCGTCCATCGCGGCCGAGAGGGAATGTCTACCCTCGAGAAAATAACGGAGCAGACGCGCGCCGACCCGGCCATGGTGTTCTCGTCGCTTTCGTCGTCGCCGTCGCAGTCGCCGAATGACGGTTTTCGCACGCCGTCGCCTGTGTCGCCTCAAAGGGCGCCGGTCGCCGTCGCGTCGTCGGCAGAGGGTGCCGTGCGATCGTCATCGCGGGCGGAGTCGCGCGGAAAAGACGGCGGCGGCAGCTCCCGCCTCTCGTGGCGCTCGCTGTCGCCCATCCGCGGATCGCGCTCGTCGACAAGGCGTTACACACACGACGATGTCGACGGCGGCGGCGGCGGCGGCGATCGCAGCGGTCGACAGGAGGAAAAGAAAAGCGTAGTGTACAAATCGTCTGGTAATTTTATAGCCACAGACGAGTGGTTCAGGGTGATTTGGGGGGTGAGGGAGCTGAGGGGTTTTAGAGGAAACACGAAATGGCGGGGCTAAAACGGAACGGAGAAGCTTACAATGGCGAAAGAAACTAGTGTAACCTGATTCTCCTTTTCGCCTTAATGTCATTTTCCCCTCACTCTGCCCATTGGAGGGAATTGTCGCATCTTCCCAGAACCTCGTCGCGTAACCCTAGCCTTTCTTTTCCGTCTTCCGCCGTCCGCCTTCTGCCGTCCGCTTTTCCCTCACCTGATGTCTCTCCCTCTCCCCCCTCTCCTCGCTCTTCCCCGTCGCTCCCCAATTGTTCCCCCAATCAGCTCCGCTCAGCCAGCGCGCGGCGGACAAGCTGCGCGCGGAGCAGCGCCTCGCGGCGGTGCTTGCGCTCATTCCGACGCGCCTCGCCGCGTCAGGGTCTCTCTCGCGCGGCTCGCTGCACATGGCGCAAGGCGTGCGCGGGAGCACCCAAGACGCGGCGGTCCTATGGGAGGTGAGACTCCCCCCTTGAGTGAAGTCATCCCTTCACCCGCAATTTCAGGCGCCTCAAACGGCGTCTACGGGAGCAGTCATATAGTAGCTGCTCTATAGAGAGAGTAACTCCCGGTGTGTGAGACTCTCCGTGTGTCATTGTCACCGTCGCAGACTGCTCCGCGCGATTCTTTCCTCCTCACCTTCCACCCACCCTTCCCCCTCTGCCCCTCCCGCTCACTCTGCGCATTTTCTCCCCCCTTCTCCCCCCTTCCCCCGTTTTTCCCCCTTCCCCTCTTCTTTAAATTCCCCCTTCCGCGTGCCTCCCCTTCGCAGCGCTTCGGCGGTCGCCCGGACAGCGCGCTGTGCGCCGTGTTCGACGGGCACGGCCCGTTCGGCCGCGTCGTCTCCTCCTACGCCGCCGCCACCCTCCCGCCGCTCCTCCTCGATTCCCACCTCCTCGCGCGCGCCGCCGCCGCCGACGCCGCCGCTGGCACTGCGGACGCCTCGGGCGGAAGCCCAGTGGGAGGAAGCGCGGGGGGGGCGGTGCCCGGCGCGGGGGATAGGGCGGCGTGGCGCGCGAAGATGCACGACGTGTTCGCCAGCGTGGAGCGCGACGTGCGCGTTCACCCGCACATCAACCCGCTCAACAGCGGCAGCACCGCTGTGGTGGCCGTGGTGCAGGTGAGGGGGATGAGGGGGGTGAGGGGGTTGGGGGAGTTAGGGGGGGTTGGGGGGACGAGGGGAGTTTGAGTGTGGAGCGCGATGCGCGCAGGCATCCGCCACATCAACCCGCTCAACAGCGGCAGCACCGCTGTGGTGGCCGTGGTGCAGGTGAGGGGAAGGAGAAGGGGAAGGGGAAGGGGAAGGGGTGGTGGGGGGATGATGGAGGGTTTGGGAGGGGTGGAGGGGGCGAAGAGGGGGGAAGCGGGAATGGGGGGCCAGGAGGAGGGGACGCTCAGGGTTCGAAAGGGGGGGAGAGGAGAGGGGTGGATTGTAAACCCAGCGGGGGGGTCTTATAGCGCGTGCACTGCTGTGTTGGCTTGGCCGTGGTGCAGGCGAGACCCGGGATGGGGGAGGGGAGGAGGAAGGGGAGGAAGCGGAGGAAGCGGAGGAAGCGGAGGAAGCGGAGGAAGGGGAGGAAGCGGAGGAAGCGGAGGAAGGGGAGGAAGGGGAGCGTTGGTGAGGAGTGAGGGGAGTTTCCGGTGGGGCTAAACATTACTGTGGGCAGGCACCCTACGCTCATGTCAGAACCCTCGCTTCCTCCCTCCCTCTTGCTCTCTCACATGCTTCCCCTCACTCTCCCCATTCCTCTCCCCCTTCCTCTTCCCCTTCCTCTCCCCCTTCCTCTCCCCCTTCCTCTCCCCCTTCCTCTCCCCCTTCCTCTCCCCCTTCCTCTCCCCCTTTCTCTCCCCCTTCCTCTCCCCCTTCCTCTCCCCCTTCCTCTCCCCCTTCCTCTCCCCCTTCCTCTCCCCCTTCTTCTCCCCTCTCCTTCCCCCCTTCCCCCCACCTTCTCCCCCCCAGGGGCGGGATCTGGTGGTGGCGTGGGTGGGGGACAGCCGCTGTGTCGTGGGCCTTGTCTCTCCCCCCACTCCCCTTGCTGGCGGAGCCAGCGCACACGGGGGGCGCGAGGGACATGGGGTAGACAGCAATGGGGGCGCTGGTGGCTACAGGGGTGGTGGTGGCGGTGATGACGTGGAGGTGGAAGCGCTACAGCTCACCACCGACCACAAGCCCGCGCATCCTGGTGAGTTTGGAGATGTCTCATCTCAGCACCCAAGTGCGGGTGCGCACCGCGCACCTGGTGAGTTTGGATGCGCACTGCACACCTCTTGTGCCACCAGCTTGTATCACGTACGTGAGTGCGCACCTGGTGGGTGCGGTGATGTGCTGTGCTGGTGGTGGCGCTGGTCGCGGCGATCTGGACTGGAGGTAGCAGCGTTGCAGTGTGGCATGGCTGCGCTACAGCTCACCACAGACCACAAGCCCGCGCATCGTGGTGAGCGCGCATCCCCACTCCCCACCCGGCTCCCCCCACCCCTTCCCCCTCCCCTCTCCCCTCCTTAACCAGCCCTCTTCACCGTACTCTCCCCCCACTGTCCACTCCCCCCTCCTCCCGCATTTCCTCCCCCCTCTCCTTCTCTTCCCCTTGGCCCCCAACCAGAGGAGCGGTTTCGGATAGTGGTCGCGGGGGGCCGAGTGCACGCCATCCCGGGGGATCCCGAGGGGGTGGAGCGCGCATGGCTGCCGCATGAGGAGGCGCCCGGCATCGCCATGTCGCGCTGCCTCGGCTCTGCTCTCATGCGCTCGCACGGGGTGACTGCTGACCCGGACGTGCGGTTTCTCAGACTCGGCCCGCAGCACCGCTTCATGGTCCTGGCCACTGATGGGGTGAGTGGCGATGGGAGATGGGGTGCATGACGGGGTGTGGGGGTGTGGGGGTGTGGGGGAGGGGGGCTTTGCTCTCATGCGCGCACACGGGGTGACTGCTGACCCGGACGTGCGGTTCCTGAGACTAGGCCCACAGCATCGCTTCATGGTGCTGGCGACTGATGGGGTGAGTGGCTCTGTGAGGATTGATAGGGGGAGCAGGTTGTTGCATCGCCATGTCTCGCTGCCTCGGCTTTGCTCTCATGCGCGCACACGGGGTGACTGCTGACCCGGATGTGCGGTTTCTGAGGCTCAGGCCGCAGCACTGCTTCATGGTGCTGGCAACTGATGGGGTGAGGATCAATGGTGTGGGCTTGGGTCGACGGGGGTAAGGCGTGATTTTCTTTCTTTCTTTCTTTCTTCCTTTTGTTTTTTTGTTTTTTGTTTTTCTTGTTTGTTTGTTTGTTTGGTTTTTTTTTTTTTTTTTTTTTTTTTACTGCCTTGGGAACCACCTCTTATGGGACATGCCATTCGAATAAGCTGTGACTTTTGTGCTATTCAACTAGGCAGTCATGGCTATGTTTGCCATGCCACCCCGCCAGCTAGCCCTCCCCTCAGGGGGCAGCAGCAGCAGCAGCGGTTTTATCTCTTCCTTTCTTTCAAAATCCAACTCGTTTCCCTTTTACCCACAAAAAACTCCCCGCCCTATCCAATACAGGCGTGGTAGCCATAGTCGCCAGCTCGCCTTCCCCCCACAATCAAAGCAGCAGCTGCCATCCGTGCCAGCAGCAATTTTTCAGGAAATAACTTATCTTCCCGTCCCGCTTTCCACAACAGGTATGGGACGTGGACGTTCTGTCCAACGAAGCAGTCGTGGCTATAATTGCCAGCTCGCCGTCCCCTCAGGAGGCAGCAGCGGCCGTGGTGCGAGCAGCGGAGCTGCAGTGGCACATGCGCCCAACCCCTCCTCACTCCCCGTACCTCTTCCCCCTGTCGTTCCCCTCCCGCAGGTGTGGGACGTGCTATCTAACGAAGCCGTGGTGGCCATAGTTGCCAGCTCGCCCTCTTTTGAGTCGACTCAAAAGTCATAGTTGCCAGCTCGCCCTCCCCTCAGGAGGCAACTCATATCCTCCCTCAAACGTGCTTACCCCAAACTTCCTTCCCCCAAACGTCCTTCTCCCCTACCACAGGTGTGGGACGTGCTATCTAACGAAGCCGTGGTGGCTATAATTGCCAGCTCGCCCTCTCCCCAGGAGGCAGCAGCAGCCGTGGTGCGAGCAGCGGAGCTGCAGTGGCACATGCGCCCGCCCCCCCTCAGCACCGATGACATTACTGCTGTAGTTTACTTCTTCCATCACCCCTCTGCTGCTGAGGGTGCTGCTGCTGCTGCTGCTGCTGGTACTGCTGCTGCTGCTGCTGCTGCTGCAGCTTCTGTTGCTGCTGCGTCACCATCAGCATTAGCGTCAGCGTCTGTGGGAAGTAGCATGAGCAGGGGTAGCAGCGGGATCGGTGGGGAAAGGGGAGGTGGGACCGGCAGCACTGGCAGCAACGGCAGCACCGGCAGTGCTGGCAGCGGGAGCAGCCCTGAGAGCACAAGCACCCTCACCATCACCACCACCACCACCATCACCACCAGCAGCAGCAGCACCAGCAGTGGCAGCAGCGCTGCCAGCACCACCACCACCCGCCAAGTCTTGAGGCTATCTGCTGCGTCAGAACCCTCCCTCCCTGCTGTCCGGATTTCCCATAGCCCAAGAGCTTCCTCCCCCTCTCCTTCCACCTCCTCTGCCGCCGGTGTCCCTTCTCCCTTGCTCCCGCTCCACGCCACGTCCCTTTCCCGCCGATTCGTTTCAGCTGCGGCGTCTGCTCCTGCCTCTTCCAGAGTAGCACCCCTCCATGCCTCTCCCTCACCTGCTCCTGCTCCTGCTCCTGCTCCTGCTTCTGCCTTAGCTGCTGCTGCTTCGGCAGCGGTGCTTCCCTCCTCCCCCTCCCCATGCCGACTGGATCCCATGGAGAGAAGCGTCAGTGAAGGCTCTGGGCTGATTAGAAAGGCCGTTGCTACAGACAGTACTGAGACTGCTTCTGCTGCTGCTGCGGCAGCGGCGGCGGCTGCTGCGGCTGCTGCTGTGGCTGCTGGTGTTGCGGGTGGCAGTGGTGTTGGGAGTATGAGGAGGGTAGGGAAGGAGTGGGAGAGGGGTGCGGATGAGGAGAAGGAGAAGGAGAGGGCGAGAGAGAGGTTTGCTGCTGCTGCAGCTGCTGCTGCTGAGATGGCAGCCGCCAGTGCAGGTGGCAGCACTGGTGCCAGTGGTGGCACTGGTGGCATTGGTTGCAGTGGTGCTAGTCACACTCACACAACACCCAATGGTTATGCTCCTGTTTTTACCACTCTCACTCCTACAGACCAAGTCAATTCCTCTTCCTCCTCCTCCTCCCCTCCGCAAGCGCTCTCCCCAACCGGATCGTTCACTTCACCCACTTACACCACTAACCACAAAAGTAACAGTCACAGAAACCGGAAAAGCAACAGCGACAGTCACACTCACTCCCCGGCCAATACTCCACCCATCCGTCCTAACAGCCCCTCCAGGGCTCTTCGCTCCATGGGCGCTGCTATCCGGTCAAGTATTCGTGCCCTCTCTCCTTCCCGCCGTTACCACTCCTCCTTCTCCTCCCCCTCTGCTGGTGCTGGTGCTGGTGCGGCTGCGGCTGCGGTTGCATCGCCTCGCCATCCGGTTCCTTTTAACTCTGTCCTCTCTCGCACGTTCAACCGTGCCCCAGGTGCTGCTTCTGCTGCTGCTAGTGCTGCCACCACCGCTAGTGATCCTGCCACCGTCGCCGCCACCGCTGCTTCTGGTGCTGCCGGTGGTGTCACCGCGGCTTTTGATGGTGCAACTACTGGTGCTGGCTACGGTGCTGCTGGCACACCTTCGGTTAGCAATGTCACAAATCCATGTCCAATAGTTTCAGTGGAGTGCCATATGGCACGTAGATGAATGGAGGGAGGTACGAGGTGCCATGAGAATGTGACTGCGGTCTGGTCTCCGGTAGTGTGGAGTGGTAGGGAAGGATATGGGAAGGATATGCAAAATGCATTTGGGGTGGCAGGCAGGCAACGTTGGGTTGAGTGCGTCAGTATCCAGCTGATGCCTTGCTAGCAGGCTGACAGACCTGGTTGGGTTGGAGGCAGTGGGGCGTTTGGTTCATGCTAACATTGATTTTACCAAGAAATGTGTGTCTTAAGTTTGTGTTTGCTGTGTCCTGTGTTTCCATATTTGTGTTATGAGCTTGCTAATTCAATGTGGTATTATCTTGGCTTGTATAAGCTAGCATGTGTTTTACCCTATTGTTATTCAGTGTTACGAGTGCAATTGAGTGAACGAACGAGAATTGCACTATCGAAGCAAGAGTACAATGAGCGAAGGCATGAGCGAAGAATATATAGCGAAACTACAGTGGTAACGGTAATGGACTGTGGTTGTCGCGCGACGGGCCTGGGACTGAGGTTGGGAAAAAGTGTCGAAGCGGAGGCCCGGAGCGCGGGTTACCCGCCGAGCCGTGAGGTCGGGGTGCGATAAGCGAAGGTGGCGGGCAGATTGTCGATGCGATGGTTGCGAGTGGTAACGGTGCTGACTGTGGTGCTACAGTGATGTACGCGTTGAGCAGGGATGCGAAGTAAGGAAAATGAATTTTCCTTACACTACCCCCCCCCCCTAAGGAGGTCCTCCTTACGAGAGTGCGTGTACATCCCTGAAATTTCGGCTGCGCAGATACTCGGTGAGGACGGGGTGGTTTTCGATTCTGTCCAGGGGAACCCAATTGTCTTCGGTGGGTGTACGGTCCTTCCAGCGGAGTAAGAACTCGATCCTTCGGGCTCCTCGAGGGTCGCGAACTCTGTGACTCAGGATTTTTTCGGGGGTGATGATTGGTTCAGTTGGTGGTCTTGTCATGCTGGTTGGGCGATTGCGTGGCAGTTGGCTCGTGGACGGGACGTAAGGGCGAAGTAGGCTGACGTGGAATGAGGGGCTGACGTACCAGTCAGCAGGGAGGAGGAGGTGGGCGGTGACGGGTGTAAGCATGTGGCTTATGCGAAATGGCCCGCAGTATCGGGGGCGGAGTTTCGGAGTGATGGGCAGTCGGAGGTTCTGAGTGTCAAGTAAAACTAAGTCGTCGGGCTGGTAAGTGACAGGTCTGCGGTGGCGGTCGGCGTTGCGTTTAGCGATGATGTTCGATTTTTTTATTGCGTCTACTGCCCGGGTCCGTGCTGCTTGTAATATTTCGGCGAACTGTTGTGCTCGTGGTACTGGGTTGTCGGGATTCGGGGTCATGGGTACTGTTGGGTCTTGTCCGTAGTTTAGGTAAAATGGTGACTGTTGGGTCGTGGCGGATGGCGAGTTGTTGTACGCGAATTCGATTAGTGGCAGTTGTTGTTCCCACGTGGTCGGGTCGTCACACGTGGCCCTGATGAGCTGTTCCATGGTCTGATTTGTCCGTTCTGTCTGTCCGTCGGTTTCGGGGTGGTATGATGAACTGAACTGCAGTCGCGTGCCGAACTGCTGCCACAGGTTCCGCCAGAAGCTGCTGGTGAATTTTGTGTCGCGGTCGCTGATGATCGCGGCGGGTATCCCGTGCAGTCGAACGACGGTGGAGATGAAGAGGCGTGCTGTTTCTTCGGCTGTGATCGATTTTTTGCAGGCTGCGAAATGTGCCATTTTCGTTAGTCGATCGACGACGACCAGGATCGCGTCGTTCCCACTCGCCCCGGCTGGTAACCCCGTGACGAAGTCCATCGTCACCTGCTGCGAAGCACGCTCTGGGGGTGGTATCGGCTGCAACTGTCCCGCCGGCCGCTGTCGTGATAATTTCATGAGCTGACAAGTGGGACACGATGCCACGTGTCGTTGTACGTCGGTCAACATTTCGGGCCAGTAATAATACCGCTGCAGCTGCTGCCGTGTTTTTTCTACTCCGAAATGCCCCGAAGTAACTCCGTCGTGTGCCTCCTGTAACAGTAATTCCCGTAGCAGTATATACCCAGGTACCCAAATGCGGTCAGTCCCGGTTTTTACGTAATAGACTCCCTTTGCTGCTGCGAACTGCTGCGAATGTCCTCCTGTGAAGAATGGATCCGTCTGGTACCCGTGGGTGAATAGGCCTGTCAGTAGCGGGCTTGTCTTGCGTGGATCTGGCCAGTGCGGCGGGTCAGTGCGTCGGCGATGTTCGAGGCTCCCTTTTTGTAAGTGACCGTGTAGTGAAAGTTGGACTCGAGGAAATCGAGCCAGCGAATCTGTCGTGGGTTGAGGTGTGGCTGTGCGCGAGGGTACTGTAGTGATTTATGGTCTGTCCGTACTGTCACGTCCGCGCCAGTCAAGTAACAGCGCCATACTTTGAACGCGTGCACGATCGCAAGCATTTCGCGGTCGTGTATCGGGTAATTTTTCTCGGGCGGATGCAGTTTTCGTGACTCGTATGCGATAGGCTGTAGGCCATTGCCGAAATCCTGTAGCAGTACGGCTCCGATGGCGATATCGCTTGCGTCGGTAACTACTTCGAATGGGCGGTGTGGGTCGGCGATGCGCAGGACGGGCGGGGAACAGAGAACATTTTTCAGGGCAGAGAAGGCAGCATGCTCTTTCTCCCCCCACGCAAAAACGACCCCCTTCCGCAGTAAGTCCGTCAGTGGGGCAGTTAACCGTGCCATATCGGGGACGAACCGACGTACATAATTAACGAACCCTAAAAAGCTCTGCAGCTCCGTGATGTTCGTCGGGGGATGCCACGCTTTTACCGTATCCAGCTTCTTTGGGTCGATTTCAACTCCAGCCTCCGAAATAACGTGCCCCAAAAATTCTAACCTATCCTGGAAGAACTCGCACTTGGAACCCTTGGTCAGTAATCTGTGCTCGTCTAAAACCTTAAACACTGCTTCCAGATCTGCTAAGTGCTGCTGCTTATCCCGACTGTACACTAGGATGTCGTCGAGGTAAACTATTACACATTTATCTAAGAGCGGCCTAAATGCCTCGTTCATGGTCATCTGAAAAGTCGCCGGTGCGTTGGTCAGTCCGAATGGCATCACAGTGTACTCGAACGACCCGTACCTAGTCCTGAAAGCTGTTTTGGCGCAGTCCGATGGTTCGACCCTAATCTGATGGTAACCTCCCCGTAAATCTATTTTCGAAAAAACCCGTGCTGTTCGCAGTTGGTCGATCAGTTCGTCGGCGCGGGGAATTGGGTACCGCGACTTGACTGTTACCCTGTTCAGTGCTCTTTAGTCGATACACATGCGAAAACCCCCGTCTTTTTTCGGCGTGAATAGTATCGGTGCGGCGAACGGTGACGAGCTCGGTCTGATGAATTTTTTTCTCTAACAGGTAATCTAACTGCTTCCTTAGTTCGTCGAGCTCGGGCTGTGTCAGTCTGAACTGGCGCTGTACGGTTGGCTGTGCCCCCGGTTCTAATTCGATTCGGTGGTCATTGAGAAGAAACGAGGAATGGAATGACTAAAGGAAAGTTGGGTACAAAAGCAAACCCTAGAAAACTGTACCCCATATGTGCTACCCCACTATAGCCTACAGTAGCTATGTCATATAAATCTGACTTACCCCCATAGGCAAAGTGGGGGAGAACAAGGGGTCACAAGACCAGTCAAGCAAAGCAAAACAAGCTCAGGGTGGATCACAAAGTCACCACACATTCCGAGCACAAGTTCAAGGCCACAAGGCCAGTTCACATGCAGGATTGCATATATATATAAGGCTAGACAAGCAAGAGCAGGTGTATATGTGTATGCAACAGTACAAGCAAGGTAGGCACAAGACCCAGCTGAGTACAGAAGCGCTGATGATCACAAGGCGGAAGTGCCTTGGTGAAGATATCAGCAGTGTTGGCCTGAGAGGCCACGTACGCAAGCCGTAGCTGACCACGCTGCTGTAGCTCACGAGCAAGGAAGTAGCGGAGAGCAATGTGCTTCGTTCTGTGCTCCAGTCTCTGCTCTCGACACAAGGCCAACATGGCCTTGTTGTCTACGTACAGCACTGGAGGAGAACGAGGCGGCTCTCCGAGGTCAGTGAGCAGGTAGGTGAGCCAGCGAAGCTCCTGTGCAGCCATGGCCCCGGCGTAGATCTCAGCCTCACAACTGGAGCCGAGAACAGAAGACGAGCGGGTAGCCCGCCACGAAACAGAGCCGGAACCAAGGCTGAAGGTGTAACCCTGTGACGACCGCTGCGTAGCCTGGTCGTCAGCCCAAGAAGCGTCTGCGTGCCCAGTGAGGACCACTGGACTCTGCCCTCCAAGCACAAGCCCCATGCCCAATGTACTGCACAAGTAGCGCAACACCCTCTTCGCTGCAGCCATGTGCTCCGGTCTGTGTCTCCCAGGAGCAACATAGCGTGCAAGAATGCTAAGAGGGTATGCAAGGTCAGGTCGTGTGCAGGTCATCAAGTACATGAGGCAGCCAACAAGCTCTGGGTACGGGCCACTCGACTCTACGGACTCATCCGAAGGCAGAGCTGAGAGCGAGTGGCGAGTAGGCAGAGGAGTGGCCTGAGGCGAGGAGTACGTGAAGCCGAAGCGCTGAAGGACCTGCTGCACCATGTGTGACTGAGTCAGGGTAATGGTGCGGCGTGCTCTGTCCCGGGTGATCTGCAAGCCAAGGTAGCTGCGCAGTTCACCCAGGTCTGTGCACGTGTGTCTCTTCTGCAGCTCGGACTTCACGTGGGCGAGTCCAGCAGTGTCAGCTGTGGCGAAGACCAAGTCGTCGACGTACACGAGGATGTAGAACGGCGGCAAAGAAGTGTCGGTGCGCAGAAACAGCGACGGGTCGGCAGTAGAGGGAGCAAACCCAAGAGCCGCAAGTGTAGTCCTCAGTGTGTCGTGCCACTCACGCGGTGCCTGGCGGAGACCGTAGACTGGCCGCCGGAGGCTCCACTGGGTGCCAGGAGGAAAGGACCCAGAGAAGCCAGGTGGGCGACGCAGCCAGATCTCCTCGTGCAGGCTGCCCTGCAAGAAAGCAGTGCTGAAGTCAAGAGAGTGCAGCTCGTAGTCGCGGTGAGCAGCTATGTGCAGCAGTACCCGAAGAGTGGTCATCTTCGGGGTGGGAGAGAAGGTCTGAAAGTAGTCAACTCCCTGCCGCTGACTGAAGCCACGAGCCACGTAACGCGCCTTGAAGACAGGCGGAGAACCCGGCGGCCGCTTCACCCTGAAAATCCACATGCCACTGACGATGTTCGCCCCAGGCGGGGGAACCTCGTCAACGTAGGTGCCTGTGGACTTCCAGGAAGCCATCTCTGCGTC